GCCCGGAGAGACTCATCTCCAGCAGTAGGTGGAGGGTCTGGGAGTTTCGGGGTTCCCATTTACATTTATATTTGCATTTGTATGAAACGGGTTCCAGTACAATACTTCACTGGTTTCCCACTTTCTCAACTCTCTTCCTTTAAATAATTATGGCTAATTACTTATTTAACTTCTTTATTATAAAGTCAATATAAAGGCTTGCATTTTTCATGTTTCCTCCGTTGTGGGCGGGAGCCGCAGCAGCTGATTTAATTTGGCCCAGTTCTTTACGTCCAGCTGCTCCGGGTCCCGAGGCTGCCTGCCGTTCGGGTTATTTACTTCGTTCCAAGAGAGCCGGGCCATCTTGGCACAAGCTCTGTGCTCTGTAAACCTAAGTAAGACGGGTGTTTGCATTCCTCAGAGACCATCTCTTCTTGAAGATCTGGACGGAAGGCACATCAGTTTGCTAGGGCCGCTGTGCCACAGACTGGGGGTTTTAAACAGCAAATGTATTGCGTCCCAGTCCGGAGGCGGAAGTCTGGAATTGACTGTGGGCATGCTGGTTCCTTTTGACGCGTGAGGGAGACTCCATCTCATGTCCCTCTCCTAGCTCCTGGCAGCTGCAAGCACGGCCAAAGTATCCTCCCTGCGTCTTCACACCATCCTCTCCCCTCTGCACTCCTCTGTCTCAGAGTCCAAGGTTCCCCTTCTCAAAAGCACACCCTGTTGGATTAGGACCCACCCTAACGAGCTCATTCACAACACTAGAGACCTGGTGGATGCAATTCATGCAGGTGGAGGGGTGGGGTCCCTCAGCCTGGCCTTCGCCCTCTCTCGCAATCCAGGACCCCTCAGGGGATGTCAGGCCTAAACCGGCAGTCGGACATCCCTCCCGCAATCTGGGACGCTACATTTTTTTGCCCTGATCATAAAAAGCAGTACATAACATGATCCTTCTGAAGCAGTAGTACCATTTTCCCTACCTCATGGGTGGAAAAACTGAAGCAGAGAGAAGTTAAGTAATTGGCTTTGTCACACAGTTATAAGTGTCATGATTAAGGCCTGACCACAAAACGTGCAAGACAGAGTCCATGCATGTTATCTCTGCATCATCCTGTTTTTTCACTGTTAGGGTAACCTTGCCAGGTTTTAATTAAATCTAAGAGACTGTTCCCAATATATAGGGTAGGATCCCTGGGCCTGGCTGGTGATGAGGGCCATCTGCAGGGCGACCAGCAGGCAGGGCGATCGGGGGGTCCCCACTGGCACCTGCCTTGGCTGGTGGCCTGGCACCTGCTCCCTGATCACTGTGGCTGGCTGCCTCCCTCTTGGTGGGGGAGAAGAGGGGAAGGGAAGGGTGTGAAGCTCAAGGTATTGAGTGTCTGCCCCCTGGTGGTCAGTGTACATCATAGAGACCGGTCATTCCCCTTCGGTTGATTTGCATATTAGGGTTTTATTATATAGGATCATTGTCTTTATAAAGACCCTATTTCTGAATCCACACTCTACAATACTGGGGTTAGGACTTCAAAATATCTTTTATGAGACATCAGTTTTACCCCTAAGGCCAGGTGCAGAGCTTTCCCTCTGGAGGGAGAGTGGAGGCCAGAGCAGGGCTGATTCCTGGCTGCTCAGACCCTGCGGGTGGAGGGCTCCCCCAGGCAGCAGTGACCTGTGACGGGACCCACTCATTGCCTGGGTCTCTGTCCCCTGCTCATGGAGCTCCAGGCCTGCCTTTGGCTGTGGCCACCTGTGAGCTTTGTGTCATTGACTGGCTCTCCACTCCCAATCCAAAAAGGACCTATTTTATACCGATTTCCCTATTTTATACCTATTTCCTCCTTTTTTTTTTTTTTTTTAATACCCCCCAAGTTTTGTTTTTCTTTACTGTGAGGACTTATGGGTGTCCCTCATCAGTTCCCAAGAATGTCAGTTGTAGTTTGTGTTTTGCTCTTCCACCTCCAGGGTGGACTCGGAGAGGCAGGCGCACAGCCCAGGTGCTGTGAGGCAGGGTGGTGAGCACGCGAAGACCCATCTTCCGGGGAGCCGGAGGACGCTTGGGGAAAGTGTTACAGCCGATCCCAGATAGAAACAGGCAGTTACAGTGACAGTGTGACAAGGCTTTATGGAAGTAAATGTACTACATTTGACTTTATACCAAAAAATTTCACAGTTTCCTCTAAATTGGCTTTGGGGATGCTGTTGACAGATAGTCTGAGAACTGCCAGTCTGAAATAGAGAGCTATTCCAGAGAGCGGGCCCAAGGGAGGAAGGGGAGGGGGAGAGGGCTGGCCAGTGTCTTCAGCTCGCTCCAACCCTGAGCATGCACCATGCTCTCTGAGGGACCCCCTCTCCCCCCCCCCCCCCGCCACACACACACACATCTGCATGAATTATGTGCACCAGGCCTCTAGTGTTGGAATGAGCCCATTAGGGTGGGTCCTAATCCAATGTGCTAAAAACAAGCTGCAGCTGCCCATTGCTCCCCTGGTTGCAAGCCTCATGGGGTCCCTTAGAATTTAAGGGCTGCGTGAAGTGGAGACTCACTTGCCGCTGACAGCGTTCCTCTGCTTATCTCTGTCCCTTTGGACTGTCTGCCGATGTTCCTGTTACCTGACATGGTCCTCGTCCTGAGCATATCTGCCTAGGGCCAGCTGGCAGGGTTCTGGACTTGGTGTAGGGAAGATTTCACAGACGAGCCCAGGCGATTATGAGAATGTTTATTAAAGCTGTGAAAGGCTTAGCATAGAAGAAGCAACAGGAGAGCCTAGGCTAGGCTGCCTTAGCTCCCTGGGAAGTCAGAGAAAAAGGGGGCCTTGGAGACAGGTTCAGGGGGTTGGTCTGGGACAAGCCGCCGCTGCCCATTGCTCCCCTGGTTGCAAGCCTCATGGGGTCCCTTAGAGTTTAGGGGATGTGTGCTGTGAGGGAAGAAGAGGGGAAAGGGAATGGTGTGGGCTGCTCTCCGAGGAGATTGTGTACTGGGTCTTTGTCTTGAGGTTTTTATCTCTCTTGTAGGTGGGAATCTTAGGGGAGGGTCTCAGCAGAATATTCATCAGTTTTCCAGCCATGTTCTTTCAGGGTCATGGTCTCCACTGATTGATCAGAGTCAGGGCAGAGGGTCATTGGTCATTGCAGCTGGTCCTGGTGTCACCTACCTGGTTTTGCTGCTTTCCTGGATCTGGAGCTGAACTACAACTGAGGCCCAGATGTTCTCTCTAGAAGGTGGCCTGCATCTGCTGTAGAGTGCTCTGCCAGCTTGTTCAGCTCTGTCTCAGCTTCCCTGTTCCCCTGGGCCTGGCTCATGCCCATCCCTGGGGCCCTCTTTTGTGCTGCATCCTGCCATAGACACACATCCTGCCTCCCCTCACGGCCACGGCCACACGGCTTCAGAAGAACAGCGGTTTTTGCTTCCTCGTTAAGTCAGCTAATGTGTGAGGTCGGGGTCATGGCTGTTGTCTTTTTCTTTTCTTTTTTTTTAATTTTTTTATTAGATTATTATCTTTGTAACCATGGCTGTTTTCATCCAGCCCCGCATCTCCTATGTGCACACTGAGCGCATCCTCGCCATCTGGCAGGCACGCACGGAAGGGAGTTCTGCATGAAGGGGGAGCCGCGCCCTGGAGGCCTGTCTGCTGCTCTTGCAGGGGTTGGGTCGGCAGCGGCTGTGGTGACACTGGAGTTCCACAAGAGTGACTCCAGGACACTTAGAAGCAGGCTTTCCCTCTCTGATAGTTGGTATGGAATGAATGGCTGGTCCTCTCACAATGGGCCAGCATTCATCTGCACTCATGTGTGCTGCTCTGCAAATGCTCCTGGCCTTTCCCATGCGCTAGTGTTTTCCGAAGGCAAGAGCTGTATCTCCTCCTTCCTTTCTTTTAAACCACTCCCCACAGCACCGGATAAGAGCTTCCGCAAGGGGTGGGGGGGGGGAGGGTGTAAAATTCACCTGTCTCCTCCTCCTCTGAACCTCCGCCAGATGCAAACATGGTCCGGAACCCAAGGGCCTTTGCAGAAGACTGACAGCACACAGGCCTTGATCTTGAGGATTGTACAGTCAAAAAGGGGTGAGCTCTCAGCTCAGATGCAGCCAATAGCAACTCAGGGCACAGAGCCCGCTGTCTGTTCCCTCAAGCCCATCACAGGATGGAGGCGGTGACGTGGGCCACCAGATGCTCAGCCCAGAGTCAGACCGGCCTGTGACTCCCGTCTCCGCCCCCGTCAGCATCTTCTGTTATTTCAACTCCAAGCCTCCGTCTCTTCTCCTGCAATGTCAGCATAAAAAGTCTGTTACCTGCGGGTGCCTGTGACCCTGTAGATAGCACCCTCCTCTCCTGCCTGTGTTCTGAAGCGATGAGGCTTAGGAGTCAGGAGCAGCAGAAAGTGGTGGGGACAGCCCGTCGTGACGGAGGCACGGCTGGCAAGTGGATGGGTGGCTTCGGGGCTTCCACCAGGAGTCTAAGACAGCTGGCTGCTTCCGCCAGTATCGGGCTGGTTTGAACCACCGGTGTCCTCCAGGGAAAGACTGTGCAAGCTTGGGTTTGGATGGTTGAAACAAAAGCATTGACTCCTCTGGTTCCAAGGGGAAGTGGTGGGCCTCACACATACCACAGGAAATAGTTACTGAACGGTTAACTAAGTAGTTACTCTCCTCCCCAGGAGGAGCGTGGGGCAGCTGAGAGGGACCAGGCATGCTCCACTCGGGACAAGGAAACATGGAGAAGCTGCTTCTGCTGGGGGGAAGAGGGGAGACACGTCTTTGTGGAGGCTGTGGGACTCCAAGATGTGGTTCCAGACAAATACCTTCATGTTAGCACTTATTAAGCCAGCTTCCCAGTGCTGCTGCAGCAGTTTTAGATGTGACTGTGAGCCTGGGAAAACGTGTCTCATTCAGTGTGCTGTACCCGAGACAGCTCCGCACTCCCCGTCTTTGCCCTGTGCACACGTAGGGCACGGCTGTTCCCCGAGGAAGCCCAGTGGGCGCTTGCTCGGCTGCCCCTAAGGCCTGTCCTCTCTCTCTGCAGTGCAAGATGGAGTTCCACGCCTGTTCCACTGGCAAGAGCCTCAGCACCCTCTGTGACGGGCCCTGCCCATGTCTCCCCGAGCCCGAGCCTCCGAAGCACAAGGCAGAGAAGAATGGTGAGTGGGTCGCGGGGGAACCCCTGAAGGAGGGCGGGTGGGCAGGGACGGAGGGCGTGGCCAGCTCTGCCCAGATGCCAGCCCTGTGGTATTTATCGGAGCCCTAGAGTGGGTCCAGCCCAGGCGGGGAGAGGGGCTTACTTGGCAAGTACTGCGCCTTATTCGGGGACTCTCACCTGAACTGCCTTCAGCACCATCAGAAAGAAGAGCTGGCGTCTTTGAATTCATTCTGCTGGTCCAAGATACGCAATAGGTTCTTTGAGAGGTTGAACTGGCTCGAGTAGGAAGGGCAGGTTTTCAGAATCTAAGACCAGGGCCTTCCCTGGGGTACATCTTGGTCTTCCTTGAACTCTATTCTGCATCCTTTGAACTTCTCAAGGCCGAATTTCAAAACAGAGACTGCAGAGGTGTCATAATGGCGGAGAGTCTTCCCCTCCACAAGCATTTCCCTATTCATGCATTCTGCTTGCAGACAGCACAGTCCCAGGGGACACATGCAAGGGGCAGCCTCCCAGGCAGCTGTTGCCCTCTGTGGCCGAGAGGAGAGGAGAGGAAGCGTGGGTTTGTGTGGATGTGTTCATGCTGGAGAAAGTAGTGCCATCCCACTGGGTGTGCTTATGAGCTGCGATGCTGGGGAAAGCCGCTCCTCGCGCTGTCCGGCTCTCTTTGGTGCCCACCCTCGTGGAGCGTTCACATCCCCAGTCGGTTGCCTTCGGTGCTCATCTTCCCTGCATCCAATGGGAGATGCTTGAGATCCCATGCCTGGGAAGGCCATCCTGCACCCTCTTTCTTCTGTGTCTCTTGTGGGTGCCCTAGTCCTCACATAGCCCCTCTCTGGCCCCCTTCACGGTCGCAGGAAACTTGAGGATGCCCTATGACCTAGGGTCAAGAAAGACAGTGGTAAGGCTGCCATCCCAGGGCTCCGTCCTTGGGTCTGCTGGGCTGCCATGTCTATTCTATGCAGAGGATAGTTTGGCAAGGCTTGGCCCCAGTTAGATTCCGTACCAGTAGCAAACCACAGTTAGTTTCCATATCTCTGCTGCTGGAGCTCTGGGGTTTCACAGGTGCCTCTTCCCTGCCCTGGCCCCGAAGATGGGCCGGAGACAGGGAGAACTGGGTAAACAGAACCTTTCCCAGGGACTCACCTGCCTCTCTGTTCTTCTTCTTCTTCCCAAAATGTCACTCTTGTAGCCCCAACCTTGATCGGTACTGAGTGTGATTGCGGGCAGGTCTGACTCATTCCCTCTGAATCCTGTAGACATCTCTGCCTCTTCCTGCCTTGGCTTTAAGTTTCAAGACTGCTTGGGGGAAATCAAAACCAAGTGGCTGATTTTCTTTTCTTCTCTTTGTTCTTTCTGGCATCTCCCCTTTGATGTGGTCCCTGAGGACATGGTGGAGGGGGTGGGCATCTTTTAATATCTCTGAATATTTCCTCTCACATCTCTAAATTAACTCATGGCTTTAGACAAGTTGCTTAATTGCTCTATCTCTCTTATCTTTATGATAACAGTACAGCCTCAAGAGAATAGAGTAATGAATTGTCCTAAAAAAGAAAAAGAAAAAGGAAATGTCTAAGGTACTCATTTCCTGGTTAGATTTCCTGAGAATCTAAGGGGAAAACAGAGGTCTCTTATGATTAGCATCTTTAAGACACATTTTTAAACTAGCAAACACCTCTGCGCTTTCAGACCTGAGCTGTCCTGCCCACCCTGCCTCTCTCCGGCTCCCTCATTAGAGAAAGACCCTTCCGCTTGGCTCTGTCCACCTAAAGGAAGGGTTCTGAGCTCCCTCAAGGCTGAGGTGAGAACTTCCCAGTAGGAGAGCAGACGAAGGAAGATCTTACTCACCTTCTTCCACACCATGTGGAGAGGCCCACGTGTTCCTCCAAGGGGCCTCAGTTTTCCCATGAGGTCCAGGGCCTCCAACCTGCCTGCAGACCCCATTTTATGATTTCCTATGTTAGATTGCATCTATAGGAAACGAGTTTGACCACCAGTGATGCTTGTTCGGTCCTCGTTACAGCAGAGGAAACTGGAAATCCACCGACAGAAGGACTCTTGCCTGCAGTGGAACTGGGGTAGAGCCTGCCCCTGGACCTCAGCCTTCGTTCCCACTGTGTGCACACCCTGGGTCACGGTCCGAGGCCACCAGCCTGAGATGGTGCAGGGGCTGTACCTGAGTTTGATGGGAAATAGATTTAATTTCTGCAGGGTCCGATGTTACTTGCCTGGATCTTGAAGTGTCAATCATCAGGCATGGAATGTCACTGTGTTCCCACAACAGCGATGCTTTGAATGACATTGAGGAGGAAATGGAGAGGGCAGCACCATCTCTAAGGACAGCTCCTTCTTTGCTTCTGAGGCATAGGCTAGCTTTTGGGGAGCCAGCCACTCCCAAGTTCTGGAGAGGCTGTGGAATTGTACCCCTTTCTTGGCCTGACCTGTACCGCCAGCCAGTGGAGCTGTTTGGAATGGTAGAAAAATAGCCATAGCCCATAGTGACTTTCTTTTCTCAAGTGGTGATTTCAGCCTCAGGCCTAGATCCTGGGGGAAGTCCCCAGTGACAGCTGGTTGTCTAATTCCATTACTTATCACAAGCAAAGTTAGGAAGCGTGTTTGAATAGGGACAGGAGGTGGTGCCAATGAGCAGAGATGGAGCCCTTCCTCCCTGAAACATCTCAGTGGAAAAATCCCAGAGCGCTCTGCCTGCCCAGAGGCGCCCAGCAAATGGAGATGCCTCTCTGCGCCAGGAAGGAGCATTCTTCTCTGGTGGCTGTTGTGTAACAGGGTGAAGGCCCCAGGCTCGCAAACTTGCGATTTACAAGCAGTTCATATTAATCTTCCCATTAGGCTTCGTTCACTTATTCAGTACGGCATTTTGGTCAGAAATTAAACTTACCAAGGAACATTGAATTTTTTGGTCTTGTTATTCTAAATGTCATTATTTTTTTTAAAAAAAGAAAGCTTCAGGATTAAATTGGCAGCTGCATCAAAGAAGAAAACCTTCCTGGTCAGGACTTTGAACTCAGGTTCCTCCGCTTCCGTGAATTCTGCTCCGCAGAAGCAGACCCAGGGCCTCCTGGTCACCGAAGCCGCTTGATATACTAGCTGATGGGGAAAAGCTAAAGGTGAAAAAAAAAGAGAAGGGTAAACGGAGGCCGTGGTGGCCACAGTCTAACCAGAGTCCAGAGGAGGGGGTAGAGATTTGTGCTTGAAATTAACGGCTTTGATGGTTCACCCAAACAGGCCTCTTCTCCTGCTGTTATTCTTTAACTTATAAATTTATATTTTCTTATATAAAATTCAAATATTATGGCAAAAATGGACTCATATTCCCAAGTCCATTAGCTTTTTGTTGCATATGCTTCCAATTATTTTTGACATACATATACTAACATACCTTTTAAACTTTACTCATACAAAATAAGACTCATGCTCTACATAATGTTTTATACCCTGTCTCTTTTATATGTCAGAGATATGCTTTCACGTAGGTACAGACAGGTCTGTCTGTGTCCGTCTGTCTGTCTCCCTCCCTGTGCTCCCTTGAACTCCACACTTACACCTGTAACGACTGCTCAGTGTTTCCATTTGGGCGCCCATGGGGTATCAAGCTTAACATGTCCACAGTCAAACTCCTGGTGTTTCCCCCATGTGTTTCTTCCTCCTGCAGGATTTATTAATGGCAGCTCTGCATTTCGATTAGCTAAAGTAAAACAATCACAAAAACTCTCTTGTACTCAAATGCCACATATAATTATGTTGGCTCTGCTTTCAAATTGATTTTCAAACACTAGTATATCCTCTTCTCACCACCCTCACCTCCCTTGTGGTCCAAGACGCCTCACCTTTTATTTTAATAGCTTCCTAATTAATCTCCCAGCCCCTTCTTTCTATCTTGAGCAAAGTAAACCAATTCTGTAAAATGTAAGTCAGAGCATGTAATCTCCTGCTCCAGCGACTTCCCCTCTTCCTCTTCATAAGAGGAAAGGTTAAAATCCTTTCAGTGACCTGTAAGGCCCAACATGATCCCTAGAGTCTCTGTCCCCAGCTTTAGTTATTATACCACGTGCCTACTCACTGCGGGCACCCAGGCCTGTGTGGGTCCCTCAATGTGTCCATCACACTCCTGTTTCTGGGCTTTGCATGGACATCCCCTCAGCATGGACTGCCTTCTCAGCCATGGACACGGCTCACCCCCTCTGAAAACTCTGCACAGTGTGACCTTCTCAGTCCACCCCTCACCCCCTTCTCCCAGCATGTCTACCCCCCTTCCTTCCTTTACTTTTCTCTTCACCATGTAACACCTTCTAATCTGCTAGATAACTTGTTTACTCATTTTATTTATTGTCTGTCTTGCCCAACTATAATAGAATGGAAGTTTATGAGGACTTTTTGTCTGAATTCTAAATAATTGTCAAAAATTGACAAATATTCCACCTTCATTCTTTTTAAAGGGTTGTCTAACATTCACAAAATTGAAAATGGCCCAAAGCAGAAAAAGATGTATTTTAACAAGGGATAATCTGTATAAGGTGCTTAGTATGTGTACTGTGCTACCAGCTTCGTTATACGTTTGACTCTTCTAACAGCTGAATAATGTCACCTGTGTTGCTGAGAAAACGTGAGATTTGGAGCATTTCTGCCCCTTGCCAAGGCCACGCAGCTCCTCAGTGACAGAGCAGGGGCTTGAGGATTCCCTAGAGTGCGTGCTGGTTACCTCACATCTGCTGAGCTCTTAAACTGAGTGGGATGCTGACTGAGAGGGCGGGCCTCCTTTGCAAAAAGAAACACACACACACACACACATGTACATGCCCACATTTAAACTAATTCTTACCATTTTTTCAGTGCTCACAGAACGCACCCCTCCCCTGATAACACAGCCCTCTCCCAGGGGGTCTCTCCAGGGAGAGAATTGAGGACCTCGCTCCCTTTCTCCTTTCTTTCTGAGAGCATGCTTGGCTCTGGAAGTTTATCAGAGCACCGTCCTGGGCTCAT